TGACCCAAAATAAAATACAAGGCAAACAAATAGGGATGGAGGGAGTGCCCGCTAGCTATGTTCATCGGACTCGGCTGAAATCCCAAAGTGTCCGTGTCGACAAGACACGACGCGGACACGGACACGGAATTCGTGTCAGATTCGGCTATTTGCACTCGGATACTTCAGAGCAAGGGCTGTGTGCGAAATCTTCTTCGACTCCATTGAAACCAGAGAGTGAAAAGAAAAGAGGGGGAGGAGAGAGAGAAAGGCAAGAAGAGGAAATGAGTGAGGCTGTCAGAAAGGTGGGGGGTAGGGTAATGGGATACCACTTATTTTTCTTTTGACTTTTTGACTACTAACTTTAACCAAAATTACTTTTTTGTGATACATTACCCAATATTTACAGCAGTAAAAAATTCTTTTATTTTATTTTATTTTATTTTTTTGAAAACGGTAAACAATTCATTTTAGAGAAAGTACTAGAATAATTATAACAAGAAATAGTAATCATATAATTTATATTACAAGAATATGATATAAAAATTTAATTTAAAAAATTTAAGAGTATTAAAATATTTTGTAATGTATAATTTTTTTTTGCAAAAAATAAAAGTGCCGTGTCTCCGCACCCGTGTCCAAATATAGGACAGAGTCCCCGTGTCCTAAAATTTTGGAAATTGACGAATCGGACACTTGGACACGTGTCCGTGTCCGACACACGTACCCGAGTCCATGTAACATAGCCCGCTAGCCTTGATAAGTAATTGCTAGTTTGCTATTGCCACTCTACAATATTGTTATATACTTCCTCCTTTCTATTTACTTTACTCACATTCCTAAAAAGGAAATTTCATATTACTTGACCTATACTATTATTGCTAAGCTTTTTTTTTTTTTTTTTTTTTTTGATAAATTCTCTAAATTACCCTCATAAAGTGCACATGGGGAACTTTTAGGGGTAATAAGGTAAGCCATGTGCAACAAGGGCCACAAAACTACAATTACTCTCTCCTCTCCTTAAATACTGTGCCCAAGGCTATAGGTCAAGTAAATAGAACCGGAGGAAGTAGCAACTAAGCCAACAACTATTACGTACTAGTCTTCTGGCCTTAGGCAACTACTAATACTACTCTTGCTTTTGGAAACCACAATATTAATCATTAATAGACTTTGAAAACTTTAAAAGATATCATTATTATTAGCTTTATTCAATCACATATAGTCTCTTGAATCAACAGCTTCCTCAGGAAACCACTAATAGCTTACAGGGAACTACAAGTTCAGCTTTTGCATATTATCCCTTAACAACGTGTAGGAAACAGCTAATCCCTCTAGATCAGATTTTGCATGATTTTGGTATTGCAGCTACTACTTGCTTATTATTGTGGATTTGCTTGCAATTTATTTTTCAGCTACCTGTAATTGCAATTGATGGGAATGATTTTTCATTATGGGGGAGTGGTGAGTGGTGGATGCTTCTATCAGCACAAAGCATGGCAATTGGAACTGTCATGGTGCGTTGGGTTTCCAAGTTTTCTGACCCAATTATGGCAACAGGATGGGTATGTCTCTGTATTTATGCTTTGTAATGTAACCTGGTCCTTGTTTAATGGGTAATGCATGCCGAGTTAGAAATTTATTCAAAAACGATCAATGACTTTGATCTGGTTCGTTTGGCATACTGTGGTTTTCTGTTTTTTTGGTTTTTTGTTTTTTTAAATCATATGATATATGTTACATAATGAATAAAAAATTAGTCAAACTTATTAAAATCATGAAAATTTTGAAAACTGACGACAGAAAAGTGGAAACACCTTTTTCTTGTTTCTTGTTTTTGGTTTTTTGTTTTCAAAAAATCTGAAAACCGAAAACAAAAACAATGCCAAACAAAAGTTTGGATTCTTACTCTGATGTATGGTTTTCTTTTCTTGTTAAAACATTTTTAAACCTATTTGAATGTACAGTTTTGCATGTATAATTTTGTTTTAAACTTGGCCTAAAGAATGTATTCTCCTATTCCCCAAGTTTTTTCAGCTTATGAAGTGAGCTGTCTGTACATATTCATTTGGAATGTAAATGAAAGCAGTAATTTCCTATTAAGTGGTCTCTTGTCATGAGACAAAATGGGATCCCATTCTCAATTATAGTCACCCCAATCTGCAAGTTAATCATTTTATCACACCATACTGCTAACTAATCAAGTTCAATTCTATTGGCTTGGCTGAATATGGTGTTAATCTTGAGGGTAGATTATAATGCTGAATAAATTATCAGGAGACTAATTTAAAGGGGCAATATTTCTGGGCTAATTGTTTCTTATGTTTGGCATGAAGGCGATAGATTCACCTGTAATTCACTTTGCTCAAAATTATCAAAGATTTTTTTTTTTTTTTTTTGACAACTGGAAAAAATTGTTGGGCTTGTCAATTTGGGATTGGATCTACATCATCTAAACATTATTCACATCATCTGAAGATTAAATTCAAATTGTATTTGCACAGGATGCTATCATGCTTCTGCCCATTCGTGTTTTGGTGCTTCTGCTATTTAAAATGAGAACAGAAATAGAAATTAATTATGGCCCTATATCTAGCTTCAATTGTTCGTATCATTTTATGTTTCTTTTTCTGTTTCAATCTGACAGATGCAATTTTTGTCACAGCACATGTTACTTGGTGGCATTCCGTTGGTAGCTTTATCGATACTTAATAATGATCCTGCGTTCAATGGGAGTCTTAATGAGCTCTCTGCCAGTGACTTTTCAGCTCTGTTCTATACATCCATCTTTGGGAGCGCTGTCAGCTATGGTGTATTTTTCTATAATGCGACTAGAGGTCCTATAATCTTAATATCAATTATATTGTTTCACTAGTTACTGCAACATATTGTCTTGAGTTACTTGATGCTATTGCCTCTTTGAAACAAGCGATTGCACAGCAATCGATGTTAACTTGGGTAGTTTTTATTGCAGGTAGTCTGACAAAGCTAAGTTCTCTAACTTTTCTGACTCCAATGTTTGCTTCTATTTTCGGGTAAGACTATCTCCATTTTATCCAACTGCCTTGCCTTCATGAGATGTCTTGTGCTATAATTTGTGACTCGGTTTCTATTCAGGTTTTTGTATTTAGATGAGAGCTTCTCGAATGTGCAACTTGTTGGGGCCTTTATAACATTGGTAGCTATATACATGGTAAATTATAAAAAAAGCACTGTGGAATGAACCAGTGAATTCTGGATTTCAGTAAAACTACTTGATAACAGTTCAAGAGGAAGAACATATATCAAATGTACATTCTCAAATTTGATTGACGAATCATGTAGCTCATATACACACACATGGGACGTGTCATCATCAAAGATTAAGTGAAAGATAATTATACCAGGTATAATACAGTATAATGCGGAAGGACAGATTTTCAAGCTACCTTGAATTGCTGGAATGAAGTGGAACCACTTCTGGAATTGAACTACATAATCTTCTACGGTGGACTTGTAGCAAGCTAAAAGTGCACAATCTTGGATTCTCGCTATTCCTTAAATCTCTCTGTAAATTAATCTAGTTTTTCATGATAGGTCCTTGCCAGTATTATATTTAATATTGTATAAAGGAACTGGGATGTATGCTCCAAAGGTGGGTCGTGTATATAATGGCATTTCTGTAAGACCTATCGCTAGGGTTGAGGAATATTAGGGTTCTTAGCATTTAAAAGAAAATTAAGAAAAGAAAGATGATACAAGTCTTGGGGGTGGTTATGGATTAGAGATTTCAAGGTTAATAATGAAGACTACCTTGACTTATTGATATGAAATCAATCAATCACTTATCTTATACTAACCGAATTAAACTAACAAAAATATCCTAATAAATTCGGTCATCTAATAATAAACTAAAAATAACAATAAAAATAATTATAATAACAATATTGATGCCTTGGAACCGCATCACTTATCAGGTGTTTATATGGATGAAAGACAAGGAAATTTGAACTACTAAATAAGATTAGGAAAAGTAATTAAACTGTGATGAGGTTGATACTATGTTAATATTACTGTTATGAACTTATGATTGAATGGAACAAAACATGAGAAGTTCTACAGATCTCCGGGAATCAAAAATTCTATTATTCTATATGAAAGATGAGCTTTTTTCCAATTTTACCAAGTAGTACCCTAGTTTTGAAAAATTAAGCATAGTGCGTATTTTTTGGTTTTATGGCTAACTTTTATAATGGTACCCTTCCCAGCCACCAGCTTGTCGCTGCTCTACCGTCCTCTCTCTGCGATCCCCAGCCCCCCACCTTAGCCGGCAAACAAAACCCTCCTGTGCAAACGAACATATCCCTGGCAACCTATACCTCCCTCTTCCTCTTTCCATTGTCATCCTTGCTGGTGACCCCCAACCCACCCCCTAAACTCTAAACCTCTTGTCACAATCAATCAAAACCACACAGCTCAAAAATTAACAAAATTACTCCAAAATTACTTGCAAAATCGTCTTACTAATCAAGCAACTAGGAGGTAACCCTGAACCCTAAACCTCTTGTCACAATAAATCAACCACCACACAACTCCAAAATTGACAAAATAACTCCAAAATTACTTACAAAAACTTACTAAAACCACCATTAATCCGTCTTAGCGACACTAATCAAGCAAAGAGGAGTAACCCCCAATTTCTGCAACACTAAAACGATGATATTTTTTTAAAATATTATTATGGCCCTATTTAAGAATTTATTCCACTTATAACTTTTTAAATAACTAGTTAGTTAAAGTTAACTGTGATTAGACTTTCAGTCCATTAAACATATCAAACAAAATGTGTCCATTTAACGTGAAACAGAACGAACACTGTTAAAAGTAAATAAGATCGAGATTGATTTTGTATGAACTTGTTCTCTTTAATCAAGACGGAAATATCTAGAATAACAGGAAGAAAAAGATCATCTTTACAAATATTGGGATTACAAATCTACCTAGCTAGGAATATAATCCACTAGAGGCATGTATTAGGATATTTAGGAAATATCATATATTTAGGAAATATTTAATCTTCTCTGTTTCCATGTTTATCTAGGACTAGGATTCTAGAGATCTTTTGTATTATATATTTCGTGCTTTTCCATCAATGAAAGCTAAGCAATTTCTGCCCAATTCTACCTAATTCTACATGGTATCAGGCCAAAGTTTCTAATCAATAGCATTCAATGGCAGGTGATGATGTTCCACCGCCACCCCCACCACCGACCGAAATAAAACCAAATTCCTCTTATTATCTTGGTTCCCAAGATCGCCCAGGAGACTTCATCACACCTACTCGTTTAACTTCCGATAATTATGATAGCTGGGCTGCTGATATTCAACCCGCTCTCGAAGCTCGACGCAAATTTGATTTCTTGGATGGAACAATTCTTACTCCATCACCACCGTGCACCAAGTCCGATTGGACGACCATTAACGCTATGCTAATATCATGGATATCAAATACAATTACTCCTGAAATACGGTCCTCTTTGTCCAAATTTAGAGAAGCAAAACCGTTTTAGGATCACTTGAAACAGAGGTTCGCTCAAACTAATGGACCTCGCATTCAACAATTAAGATCTTCCATAGCCAAGTGTGAACAATCTAGGGATATGCCGGTTTCTGTTTATTATGGTCAATTACACTCCTTGTGGCAAGAGTTGGATCATCATGAGCCATTAATTTCCTGCTCTGTTTCTGGTTGTCTTTGTGGTCGTTTACACGAGGAGCGAAGAGCGCAAGCAAAGTTACATGATTTTTTAATGGGATTGTATCTCGATTTTTATTCATCCCTACACACTCAAATTTTATCACAAGACCCGCTTCCGAGTCTTGACAGAGCCTATCAGTTAGTCACTCAAGAGGAGTGTGTTCGCCTGTCAAGGAAGGAAGCAGCCACTCATCCAACCGAGGCCGTTGGTTTTGCTGTGCGTACTGGAGCTGATGCGGCAGGTGTGTCGCGAGGCAGGGGAAGGGGTTATGACAAACCTCTTTGTACCAAGTGCCACAAGACGGGGCATGAAGCCTCCACCTGTTGGGCAGATAAGGTGTGCGCCCACTGCAAGAAGAAAGGGCACCCTAAGACCCACTGTTTTGAGATTGTGGGCAGGCCAGGGAGTAGACGCCAGGACCAAGGTCGTGGTCAGCCTCGTGCCAATGCAGCCGCTTGTGACAGTCAGTCTTCCGCATCTAATTCTTCTACAGTTTCGGCTTTGGGACAATTATTTACTCCTGAACAGTGGAAGGCTATTGCGGGGGTTGTTGGTAATGCTCAAATTCCGGAAAACATATTGACCGGTAAGTTTGATGTTTCATCTTGGATTATTGATACCGGCGCGACTCATCATGTCACCGGAGAGAGTTCTTGGCTAGTTGACACGAAAAATATTGAGTGCCCTGTTGGGTTGCCGAATGGTGCAAAAGTAATAGCCACTTTGGTGGGATCTGTCTGTTTATCTGAAACAATTACTCTCACTGGAGTTCTTTATGTTCCGAATTTGAATTGCAACTTACTTTCAGTTTCTCAACTTAATGATGATTTACACACTATTGTCCAATTTGATTCTTATGTTTGTGCTATACAGGACCAAGCGAAGGAGCCGATTGGAATGGGAACTAGAAGAGATGAACTATACTATTTTAGCAAACCGAAAGTGTCAAACGTTGAAGCTACACCGAAGTTAGAGTTATGGCATCGTCGACTTGGGCATCCTTCTGAAAAAGTGGTTAAGTTAATTCCTAATGTTTTTGGTAGCAAAGATCATTTAGATACGGGTTGTGAAGTATGTATGCATGCTAAACATCCTAGAGACAAATTTCCTTTAAGTGATAATAAAGCATCTCGAATATTTGAGAAAATTCATTGTGATTTATGGGGTCCATATCGACATGTTTCGTCGTGTGGAGCTCGTTATTTTTTAACAATTGTGGATGATTATTCACGAGCAGTTTGGGTTTATTTGTTGGTTGATAAATTAGAGGTCTTTCAAATGTTTATGGCCTTTGTTGCTATGGTTGATCGGAAATTTTCTCAAACTATTAAAGTAGTACAAAGTGATAATGGGACAGAGTTTAACTGTCTACTTGCCTACTTTAGAGCCACTGGAATTTTGTTTCAGACATCTTGTGTAGGAACTCCACAACAAAACGGGCGAGTAGAGAGGAAACATAAACATATATTGAATGTTAGTCGTGCTTTGAGATTTCAAGCAAAACTACCTATTTATTTTTGGGGAGAATGTGTACTCACTGCTGCTCATTTAATTAACCGTACCCCAACTCCTCTTTTGGGAAACAAAACTCCTTTTGAAATCCTTTTTCACAAACCCCCATCTTTTGACTCTATTCGAACCTTTGGATGTTTATGTTTTGCTCATAATCAGAAAAACAAGAGAGATAAGTTTGCTAGTCGGAGTCGCAAATGTATTTTCATGGGTTATCCGTTTGGTAAAAAGGGATGGAGAGTGTTTGATTTGACTACAAAGGAATTTTTTGTCTCACGGGATGTGAAATTCATTGAAGAAGTATTTCCGTTTGGGAATCCGGAGGCCGTGAATATTTCCAATAATGAGTATGAGGATCATAATATCCATGAGGATTTTTCAGCAATTATTTATGAAGATGTTGTTGATCCAAATCACAAAGCCCAATCCCATACTCAAGACCCAGCGGCAGGACAAGCTTCACCAAGGTCCGCTGGGCCTTTGGCAGATCAGCCCACAGTGGCTGCTGGTGAGCCCGCTGGTAATCCAGCGCCAGATGGGCCACCTATTTCTTTCCCCACCTTCACGCCATTTGAGCAGGTTGTGGATGGGGCTTCTTCGAGTGGGCCCACGACTGCTGCAAAATCGGATGACAAGGAAGCTAATATAAATGATCAAGCTTTGGGTCGTGGCTTGAGACACAAATTTCCGAATGTCTTGCATCGAGATTTTGTGACACATACGGTATTTGCTAATAGTCCACTCTCTTTTCCTTCCGATCACTCCTCAGGTACTCCTTATCCTTTAGCACATTACATTAATTGTGACAATTTTTCTGTCAAGTATCGCAACTTTCTTGCAGCTATTATCAAGGATAATGATCCTAAATCTTTCAAAGAAGCAATGAAATATGACGGATGGCGTAAATCTATGAAAGATGAAATTCGTGCTCTAGAGGACAATGGTACATGGACTCTAGAACGCCTTCCTCTTGGGAAACGTGCTCTTGGTAGTCAATGGGTCTATAAAACTAAATATTTATCTAATGGTGATATTGAGCGTCTTAAATCAAGATTAGTGGTGTTTGGTAATCATCAACAAGCTGGAATTGACTATGATGAGACATTCGCTCCAGTTGCCAAGATGACTACCGTTCGTGCTTTTCTCGCAATAGCGGCTTGCAAAAACTGGGAAATACATCAAATGGATGTGCAAAATGCCTTTTTGCATGGTGACCTAGCAGAGGAAGTTTACATGAAGTTGCCTCCCGGGTTTGAAAGTTCAGATCCGTCTTTGGTGTGTAGGTTATGCAAGTCATTGTATGGCTTGAAACAAGCACCTCGGTGTTGGTATGCAAAGTTGACAACGACTCTAAAACGGTATGGATTTATCCAATCTTATTCAGATTACTCTTTATTTACATATACTAATGGCAATACTCAAATTAATGTCTTAGTTTATGTGGATGATCTTATTATTTCTGGGAATGATTCCGTTGCACTTAAGGCTTTCAAAGCATATCTTAGTGATTGTTTTAAAATGAAAGATCTTGGTTCCCTTAAATATTTTTTAGGCATTGAGGTGGCTCGTAGTCCGTCCGGATTATTTTTGTGTTAAAGAAAGTATACTCTGGATATTATCTCTGAAACAGGTTTATTGGGTGCAAAGCCGAGTGGGTTTTCCATGGAACAAAATCATAGACTCGCTCATGCTAATGGCGAATTTCTTCAGCATCCAGAAGCTTATCGTCGTCTTGTGGGACGGCTAATATATCTCGGGGTCACTAGACCTGATCTAGCGTACTCAGTTCACATTTTGTCACAATTCATGCAAGCACCTCGCATAGAACATTGGGAGGCGGCCTTGAGAGTTGTTAGGTATCTCAAAGGATCTCCCGGCCAAGGCATATTATTGCGTTCGGATAGTGAGCTCACTTTAGAGGGATGGTGTGACTCAGATTGGGCGGCGTGTCCTTTAACTCGACGCTCGTTGACAGGTTGGCTTGTGTTTCTAGGAAAATCACCGATTTCTTGGAAAACTAATTAGCAACCTACAGTTTCAACTTCTTTTGCAGAGGCGGAGTACAGGTGTATGAATGGCGCCACTTGCGAATTAAAGTGGCTCAAGGGTTTATTGTTGAGTTTGGGTGTGCAACATCCTAAAGCCATTAAATTGTTCTGTGATAGTGAGTCAGCATTGCATATTGCGAGGAACCCTGTGTTTCATGAGCGTACGAAACACATAGAGGTTGATTGTCATTTTGTTCGCGATGCCATTACTGAAGGATTAATTTCTCCGTCACATGTGTCCACTAAAGATCAATTAGCGGATATATTCACAAAGGCACTCGGAAAGGCGCAGTTTGATAAACTTCTTTCCAAGTTGGGCATTTTTGATCCTAATGCTCCAACTTGAGGGGAGGTATTAGGATATTTAGGAAATATCATATATTTAGGAAATATTTTATCTTCTCTGTTTCCATGTTTATCTAGGACTAGGATTCTAGAGATCTTTTGTATTATATATTTCGTGCTTTTCCATCAATGAAAGCTAAGCAATTTCTGCCCAATTCTACCTAATTCTACAGCATGTCACTACCTTCTATACTATACCAAAATGTTAATGTCACGCAAATAAAATTGTCTACATGAAAAATGACTAGACAATGCAAAGCATACGAAAGGCATTCTAAATTCTCGACATTTATTCTTTTCGAAGAGCATCGATACCAATCACCAGTGAATAATAATTGAATACAATAGCAAAAATGAAAGTTAGTGGAGCCTTAAAGAGAATCAAGCAAAGCATAAAACATACGGCAGAAGATAAGGAAGATATGAGAAAGGGCATCTTTTTATTTCTTTAGGAAGAGAGATTATTAGTTGGTGAGTATTAGTGGATCAAGGTTTTGTTCATAATTCTAAAGTTTTACATAAAGCAATAAAGCTTCACTCGATCATGCATGATATTTCTAGATTAAATGATCCCTTTTTTCTTGAGTATTGCCTCGTTTTATAAAATATTATTATTATTATAGTTAATGGAAACGACAAAGTGAGGTATTAGAATTAAATATAGAAAATTAAGAACGCGTAATTTGTAGTTATATCAAGTAAATAAAGATATATTTATAAGATATGTTAAAGCAAATAAGAACAGAAAATAATTTATAAGACCAAAGTTAAATGTGTGTGAATTATGATAATGTTTGAACATCTTTAGATTATATGTAACATACTCTACATGCAAATTCGTACATCTTTTTGTTAATTTTATTAACACTAACAAAGCAACTAAAGTCATACTTTCACTAATATTATTAAGTGTTATCTTTAACTAATGTGAAAATAGTAGTGAAATATATAAACATAAATAATGAAGCTAGCATACTTTGGAATTTGTTATATATATCCGGGTGCACCACCGCACAGGCGCACACCCAACTAACCTAAGATTAGTTTTAGCTTTTCATTTGATGATCGATTAAATGAAAAATAATCATCAAACTGAGAACAACATACTCATGTTTATACAGTACACCCGAGTGTATATAACAATCTCTCAGCTTGAAACTCTGTTTTATTTATTTATGATATTAGCCAGTTTTTAAAAGTGGTGTATTACTGTGTATATACTTCAATTCCTTCGTTCCTTAATTTCTTTCCCTCTTTTTGTGTAAGTCCATTATTACAAGGAAAAACTTTGTTCATAATTGTTAGTCCATTATATACAAGAGTCTAAATTTTTTGAAAATATATACCTGTGCATTTTTAAATAAACTTCTTTTTCCTACTTAAAAAGTATAAAATGTCCCACTTTTAACTAACCTCCCCATTATCATAATTTAAGGGAATGAAGGGAATACTTAACTAAGAAATCTAGCAAAATCACACCTATAATTTAACTAGTAGTAACTTAGTAGCTAAGGGTTGATTTAGTCAAAGGGTAAGAACATTATTGCACATATAAAAAGGCACCTTGATTCCCTACTCATGAAAAAGCAATAACAATCAAGCTAAGTGGAGATTCATTTGCCTTTCTTTTCCTGCGTCCTTTCTTTTTACAGCATATTGGACCATATAAAATATACTCCATACTTCCATTATCACACTACTAGAGCTTAATATATAAGCACAAATTAAAGCAATCCCAATAAGCACCTACAAGTGTACAACAACCCCATCAACTCTAAAGAGACACCCATATAACTCTTCATATACTAATTCATCATCACCTAACATATTTTCTTTGCTAACGTTGTTACATTCTCAAAGCTCCAACTTGAGAGCTAGTATAAACTGAAACAACTCCTTTACCAGCTGATCTGATACAACCGTTTATTAGTACGTGGTAATAAGGTATTACAAATCATGCATAGGTTGAGTAACACAGTAATAGGTTTCCTAAACCTATTTACTCTCCTAGCATCAATACCCATCATTGGAGCAGGGCTTTACATGGCAAAGGATAGTACAACATGCGAGAATTTCCTCCAAACTCCGCTTCTTGTAGTCGGCTTCATTGTCCTCATCATTTCCCTAGCAGGGTTCATTGGTGCATGTTTTCACGTAGCATGGGCTCTATGGGTGTACCTAGTGGTCATGTTGCTACTCATCATTGTTTTGATGGTCATAACCGTGTTCGGTTTCGTGGTTACGAGCCAAGGGGGTGGTACTCAAATCCCAGGGAGGGTTTATAGAGAGTATCACCTACAAGATTACTCCCCTTGGTTAAGGGCTAGGGTTAAGGACCCTAA